CTCTCTCTCTCTCTCTCTCTCTCTCTCTCTCTCTCTCTCTCTCTCTCGTCGGGGGGTCTCACTCCCTGGCTGGAGGTCAGTGGCATGATCACGATGATAAGGCCTTGATCTCCTTGGCTCAGGCGATCCTTCCCCCTCAGCCTCGCGAGTACTGGGACTACAGGTGCACACCACCACACCTGGATAATTCTTTGATGTTTAGTAGAGACAAGGTTTCGCTATGTTGTCCAGGGTGGTCTCAAACTCCTGGGATCGGGCAGTTTGCCATCTTTGGCCTCCCAAAGTGCTGGGATTTCAGGCCTGAGTCACCACACGTGGCCGACTGTCCCTTTCAGATGGGCCTGAGTTGCCTGGGTTACCACAGTTCCCACCATTCCTATTGCTAGACAGGGCCAGGTTTGTGACTTGCTTTGACCAATAAAATGGGGCAACGGTGGCATCTACAAACTCTCAAACCTAGGCTTTAGGAAAACTACTGTTTCTACTCTCATCCTCTTAAGACAGTGCCATTGCATGAGGGTCGAAGACCTTGAGGAGGGAGAGGACGAGACAACAGCCAGGACCAACCAGCAGATGTGAGAGTGAGGCCATGATGGGTCACCAGACCCAGTCAAACTGTCAAAGAAACCAGCAGAAGAGCTTCGCAGCTGAGCCCGATCTGCTGACCCACCAAATTATGAGCAAATAAAATTGTCATTGTCTTGAGCCACTAAGTTTCAGAGCGCAGAATGGTTTGTGACACAGCAACAGATCTGATAGAGTCACACTTCTTCATGGTATTCTGTTGTTCTTTCTTTACATTCTAATTGCACTTTAAACCTTCTGCCTTCTGGCTTCTAGCCACTCCACCTAAACAGACCTACCTATGGTTTTAATGTTTTATTAATATATAACTGCAGGAAAACAGCCAGGCGCATGGCAAGAATGATAACATCTTGAGTAAAAACCACCATAATGACTGATGTCTAACTCCTACATACCAAAGTCTTCTGCAGGAAGGTCTTTACAGCTCAACCTGTAATCCCAGCACTTTGGGAGGCCACAGTGAGTAGATTGATTGAGACTGCAGGTTCGAGAACAGCCTGGGCAACTTGGCGAGACCTCATCTATACAATAAATACAAAAGTAGCCGGGTGTGGTAGCACATGCCTGTAGTTCGGTTATTGGAAGGCTGAGGCAGAAGGATCGCCTGAGCCCAGCCATTCGACACTGGGGTGGCCTTGAGCGTGTGTGCCACTGCACAGCCTGGGCAACAGAGTGAGACTCCAACTCAAAAAAAAAAGTGGCTTATCTAACCTACCCAGTGCTCATGAGTTCTGACAAGAAAGTCTGAGACATGAGCAGCTATACATATTTTACCAAATAAAACTTGCTTTCTAAAGGATATTTTCCGGAGGGTGGATGCAGGGATCTGTCTTCCAGCCAACTGAGACATCATTTCTCTTTGTAGACCCTTATTAAGTGTTTCTTCCTGAGAAACTTGATTTGTCAGCCTCTTTCTTCAGCCTCTCAGCCCCTCAGGCCTTGGGAGTAGTCTGTGTATACCTGCTTGCTCAGAACAATAACGTAATATAATACATACAGAAAGTGCATATGTTATAAATATGCAGCTTGATTCATTTTCACAAACTTGATGAACACACGTAAGCAGCACCCAGATCAAGGAGGTAAGGCTCTCCCTTCGCCTCCCCTTCTAGTCATCCATTCCCTGAAGGGCAGTCACTCTGGTTTGGAGTTTTTGTACCTCGCTGGCTTTTCTTCTTTCTTTCTTTCCTTTCTTTCTTTCTTTCTTTCTTTCTTTCTTTCTTTCTTTCTTTCTTTCTCTCTCTCTCTCTCTCTCTCTCTCTTTCTTTCTCTTTTCTTTTTCTTTTTCTTTTCTTTTTTTGAGTTAGGGGTCTCACTCTGTCACCCAAGCTGCAGTGTAGTGGCACAGTCATATCTCCCTGCAGCCTCAACCTCCTGGGCTCAGGCAATCCTGAGTCGCTGGGACTACAGGCGTGCATCACCACACCTGGCTACCTTTTTGTGTTTTTTTGTAGAGAAGAGATCTCACTATGTTGCCTAAGCTGTTTTCAAACTCCTGGGCTCAAGCAAGCCTCCCGCCTCAGCCTCCCAAAGTGGTGGAGTCATAGGTGTGAGCCGCCACACCTGGTCCCTCACTGGCTTTTCCAACAAGGACATGTTGGGTCTTTATCTCACGAGCTCTCCCTAGCTTCCTTGCCTTCTATGTCCGGGGACGTCATAGGATCGCCCCTTTCTCCACTTTGCCTCTGAGGTTCTGGGTTGTGCTCCCATCTCACTCCACACAAGGCCAGGCCATCCCGTGGACTCTGTGGCTTCACTGCCCTCTGTACAGCCTGGGTCTCCCTCCTCAATGCCAAACCTGAGGATTAGATATTTCTGCTTGCTTTCTTCACGTGCGCCTCAAGCTCAGCAACACTGCCATCCAAATGGCCCTGACCACCAACACTCGCTGCCAGCCCCACAAATGCGCCCAAGGGTCCCTTCTGCTGCACCTCGTGTCGGGGAGCAGCCACCATCCATCAACTGCTAGCGTGGAAAGCAGCTGTCATCCTTGACTCCTTTCTTTCTTCCACCCTCTCCCACCCCTCAGCCGCCAAGTCTATCAGTCCTACTACCCAACTGTCCCTCGGTGGCCTCTTCCCTTCGTATGTTCCCGCCCAGGGCCACTCCCTGTTTTACCTCCTCTCCATCACGTCATCTGGAGTCACTGGCCTCAACATCAAGTTTGGTTCCTCCCAGATCCTCTCACTGCAGTCAGAGAATTTTCGCATACAGATCTGGTCATGTGTCCCCCAGTTTAAATCCTTTAAGAGGCTTTTTTTTAGGGCAAAGTCCTGCTCGGGGTCTGCAAGGCTTCTTCCAGATTGGCCTTTTCTGAGCCCTCCAGCAGATTGTCTACAGCTGCCGCTGTTCTTTTGCACAATCCCCAATCTGACTGCTCCACCTCGCTGGCCTCTGGCTTCCACGGAGGCTGTTTTTTTCCTGCTCAGAAGCCCTCTTTGCCATCCCCACGTCTGGGTGGAGCCCCCACAGCACACTGTGCTCTTCGTGGTGTTTCCACACCGTGTATGACGCCAGCTCCTTTTGTTGTTCCTTAGAAACACTTTGAGCTCTAAGCAACGGGAAGGCATGGACGGTGTCTTATGCACTGGGGCACCC